CCACAGAATTTATTAAACACACATACTATTATCAAAACATTTTAACGTGAAATTGATACAAATTCTTCATAGTTTTCAAAACGATTGCAATACTTAAAAGTGGAATTACCTCAGACAATGTTTTAAAGGAGTAATAAGAGAAATTTAAAATTTAACCTCAAGATATAAATCCACTTACTTTTATATTTGGTTTTATGTGAAACATAACAATAATATTTTAAACTTAAAAAAAAAAACTTAAAAACTTATTATCCTTTATAGCATATTAATCAGAAAGACCTCAAAAAGCTAGTGAGGAATTTTGAAAATAAGTCATTTTCCTAGGTCAGCATAAATTGGTAAGTTTATCAAGACTAGATAGATGTTCTGTTCATTGACTATTTCCAACGCTCATATACAGATAATCAAGTCTTAAACAATTTGATCCTAGCTTGTTGCTGGTAACAGAATAATTCAGTCTGGTCACTGGAACACAAAGTAAGAACAAATGTATTTTCATATAGATATCTGTCTCTGATGCAGGGCAATTATGATAATGTGCCCCAGACACTGCAAGAAATTGTTACCTGACTTTGTCAGCCCAGGAATCAAGAGCAGTTTTTTGAGAGAGAAAGTTCTGCTTAAAATACATATTAATAGTTATCAAAATTTCATACTTGTCATAATGAAATACTATCAAGGTTTCAGTACTTGTACTAATTGTACTCTCAAAAACTTAAGAACCTGGTGGTACTAATGGTATACTATTTTGTATGTTGTTAGTTTTTAATGTTTTTTCTGCTTTGAAAACAAACATAAATATCATCCCAAATTTTATCATTAAGAGGTTAGCCATGTCAATATTTTCATCTATTGTCTTTCAGTCTTTTTTTATTTGGGGTATTTTGTAATCTAATGTAGTTTTGTTGCCTGTTTTTTTAAAATTTAAGGTATTCCAAGTGTCTAGTGTGGGAGATCTGGTGACACAGTGCTTAAAGAATTTGAGCGCTAACCAGAAGGTTGGTGGTTCAAACCCACAAGCCGCTCCAAAGAAGGAAGATGGGGCCATCTACTTCCATAAAGATATATTGCCTTGGAAACCCAATGGGGGTCTGTGAGTTGGAATCGGCTCAATGGCAATGAGTTTGGTTTATGTGGTTTAGTGGTGTTAGTGGTTAAGGCATTTGGCTGTTAAGCAAAAGATAGGTGGTTTGAGGCCTCGAGTTGCTCTGTGGAAGAAAGATGAGGCAGTCTGCTTCTGTAAAGATTTACAGCCTAGGAAATCCAATGGGGGTCACTATGAGTCAAAATCAACTTGACAGCAGTGAATTTGGTTTGGTTTTGGCATGTAAATACAGATCTACATTATCACCTTCAATGGCTGTGTACTTTTTATAGTGTGTATACTACAACTTATTTGTTGATATTGTGTGCTGTCAAGTTTATTTCGATTCATGGCAACCCTATTTGACAGAGAAATACCCCTTTATGGTTTCCTAGGTTTCAATCTTTATGGGAGCAGATCACCAGGTCTTTTCTCCTGCAGAGCAGCTAGTGGGTTCAAACCACTGACCTTTTGTTTAGTAGCTAAGTGCTTAACCATTGTGCCACCAAGGCTCTAATTATTTATTTATACTAATACTAATTATAATGGAGCTCTGGTAGCATAGTGCCTAAGGCACTTGACTGCTAACGAGAAGGCTGGCGGTTCAA